GAAACCCTATACAGGGTCGCTATGGGTCGGAACCGACTCGATGGCACTTAACAACAACAACAACAAATTATACATTACTAAATAGAAGTAATTTCTAAATTAGTGGTAAAAAGACAGTAAATATAAAAATAATAATAAACACTTTTGTATTTAAAAGGAGTATATGCTGTAAACAGCATGCTTTATAAAATAATGTTTTAAAGTTAGTTTCTTTTTCCCATAATATTAAAATCAGTCTTAATTTTATGGGCATTGTCAATGCCATTCTCTTCTATTTCCATTGTAAATGCTGTCCAAATTCTACATATAGAGGTTATCTTTGCTCCAGAAAACATGCTAATGCTTTTCATAGTGAAAGAAAATGTATTAAAGTATCTGTAGTTTGTTAGGATTTGATTAAATGTTTCCATATGATGCTGCTCTACATGTACTGAAAAGAAAAATTCAGTTTGTGCACAAAATGAGATGAAAGTGTTATCTCTAAACTATTTGACAGATGATTTAACAACAAAATTAATTCATTTGCTGCTGCATGTTAATCTAAGAATCAAAGGCCAAAAAACTATTTCAACAAAAAGGCAATTAGCTATTAAACTGTAATTACCTATGATGAGAAAATGTAATCAGAAAAAGAACTGAACTACTCGATAAAATATGTGATTACTAAATTGAATTTAAAGTATAAGAAGTACTAAAATGACTGATAATTGACTGAACTGCCAAGTTTTAATATACTTTTGTGTTACTAGTTTCCATGTCTGGAAAGAAGCTATATAAATAAAATTAACAGCTTTAAAATAACCCACTTTAACCCTTAAGGAGGGGTACCTTTACCTTTTTTCTTTGTCAAACATTTCTAGAATCTTTCAAAATACTTCCTTTTTTCTCAGTTAACGGCTTTCTCTTTGTCCAAACTTCATAAAATTAGTTAAATGTCAGTTAAGAGGAATACTGGTGTGGCACTGCAGTGTAACATACTGGACTTCAAGGTCGGACTGAACCACAAGTTTAGCAGTTCAAACTCACCAGCTGCTCCTTGGAAACCCTACACAACAGGGTCACTATCAGTTGAAACTGACTCAGAAGCATTTAACAAGACATTACTAGACTCATTTTTATAATATGATCCTTTCTGAATCTAAGCTTTACTTTGCAAAGGCTAGTTATAATTATGTAACAAAAAAACTTTTCAAATTATAAATATGTAGCTAGTATATCATTACATTTAACTATCAAGCTATATTGTATATTTTAAGTTAAAGATCTAAACAATTATATCAATTGTGAGAGAAATTCAGGTTTTACTTACATTTGTCATAGCTATAGCGTTTTTATCGTAGTATTTCTTCTTTTCATATTTATCTCTGATGAAAAATTCCACCGCTCTGGAAACAGAAAACTTAAGGAAAAGCTTGAGTTCATTGTCATCATGTTCTCCTTTACTCACCATCCCTGTCCACAAAGTCTACATTCTAAATTCAACTTTCCCATTTATCTCTCAGACTATTTCTGCAACTAAATTCTACAACCTATTTCTCTTTCAGGCAATGGAATTCTACTTCTTTCATAAAGTTTTCCCATTCTACCAAAACTACCCAAATTCAATTTGAGAAGCAGTATTTGACCACATTCTCAATCCTACCCCACCTCTACCCCTCACCCTGATAAACTGTAAATTCAATTCAGAATCACTGAAATTTCTATGTAAAAAATTGACAAGCCCACAATGTACCAGACATTGTGTGCTGTGTACATATTTTGTTTCCTTTCATCCTCCAACAACCTAGTAGGGCATACTATGATTTCTGTATCATAAATAATGAATCATTAACTTAGAAAAATCAAGCAATTGGTTCACAGTAACCTTTTAATTACATCGTCCCACAAATTATTGAAATTCCCTTGTGGTGTAATTACTTAATGTCGCTTTTCTAGCTATGTCTTTGCAAACTCCTACCAAAACACTTTTTCTTGATAGGTTTGGAAAAGAATGTAAGGGAACATGCTCATGGATTATATGGTTCACTTGGTAGCAAGACTGTGATCGTAAACACTTAAGAACGCTAATAAAGGGATTGGTCAAAGTTACCATCCTGTTGGATTTTAAATGATACATCTTAGAAGCAGAAGGGAGGGGGGATCTCAACACCATCAAAGAAGAAGAGACAGGAGTCGGGTGTGTCCTTAGGACCCAGAGACAGAAGATGTGAAACTGGAGGAATATCAGAGGACCAGTAACAGTAGAACAAAGAAACAGAAAACAAAAAAAAGTGATAGGCCTCCCAGTCCACAGAGCAAATAAAACAGAGTGACTTTGGGAAGGAGGTTAGTTTGCTGAGTGGGGTGCACCCAGGTACTTAATTGGGAGACTAGGTTTGCTGATACACAGACTAGAGCTCAGTGCCCTTTAGCTGAAACATATGGTGGAATAGTATGTTTGGTGGACATTTATCAGTCGCCCAAAAAGAGCTTTGTAACATTGCCAGGGCAGAGAGAAGCTTGCCTGTGGACACGACTGAGCAGAGATCTTGGTTGATACATGCGTCTTAGAATAAAAATGTCTCAAGCCTTTCTATGTGTTTTGTGCAGGGTCTAAAATGTGGGCCACTTCTTCATTGTTACTTCCACAAAAGAACATTATTTATTTCAGAGGTTCACAAACCTTTTCTTAAAATGTCAGGTAATATTTTTGGCTTTGAGTGACAGTTTATGTTTGGGACAGTGAGTTTATATTGCAACTATTCAACTCTGGACTCTTGCTGTGGTGCTACAGGATCAGCACTGGACTGCGAACCACGAGCTCTCCAATTCAAACTCACCAGCTGCTCCTCATAAAACCCTATACAGACACTCACTGTATGCTGGAACCAACCTGACAGCACTTAACAACAACAACTCAACTCTGCCTTTGTAGTGACAAAGCAGACATGGATAATCCATAAATGAAAGGTATGGTTGCATGACAGTTGTTAATGAGGCAGGGTTGAGGTGAAACTAGAGAGTAAGGATTAGGTTTAAGAATTAAGAATGCCTCCACCTTATTAGAGGTTGTGACTCAAGTCACCCCTTGATGGCATGATCTGACTCCAATCTATAGGACTGCTTTGGAAAAGTTCTCTCTTATCCTGGATCTTGCATCTGCCCCCATTACATCTGACCTCCAGTTGGTAGGACCTTCTGTTCATTTCTTGGGCTGATTCACCAGTATCAACAGCCTGTATGACCTGCTGATTTGGGTTCTTCAACTCTTGAGATTACGTAAGTGAAAAAATTCCTCCAGACTCATCTCTGAACTACAAGAGTAGGAACTTGCCAGCCTCCAAACTCACATGAGCCATTTCCTTTGACAGTAATTGAGCTATTGTAAAATGTTGCACATTTGCAAAACTCTGGGATATTGAGGGAAGGGAGCCTTGGTGACTGATATAAAGGATTATGGAGTGGTAGAACATGTTGGAAAAGTCGAACATTTGGTATACCTTTAACTTCCAACTCATAGACACCAGCCTTGTGCTGATCTTTCCAAAAGAAATTCATAAAACATTTCATCACATTTTTTTTTTAAAAAAAGAGAGAAATAACCGTTTCCAAGTTAAGCTTCCAAAAGTACATAAAGATGCAATTTCCCTAGAATTTTTCAATTGTGTTGGTTTGTACTGATCCTTTGTCTTAAACAGTTTGGGAGAAAAGGAAAGAAAAAGAAAAGAGAAAACCCAGGCAGATGAATCATGGGCCTATAGTTTTGCTGAATTCAATTTCAATAGTAGAAGAAAAGCAAAGTTGGAATTAAGAAGGGATTCTGTAGATGTATGTTACTATTCCATATGAGAAAGATGAGGAGTTCTGCTCCTGTAAAGATTTACAGCCTCTGAAACGCTGTGCATGGTCACTATGAGTCGGAACCAACACCTCGGTACTTAACAACACCATTATCAAACACCCTTTGGTATGGGTTACAGCTCAAGGCAAGTGAACAAAAATCTTCACCACTGGACCAATAAACAGCATCCATATAAATGGAGAAAAGATTAAAGTTGTCAGACTTCATTTTGCTCACTACTGTAACACCCCATTTAATTTCTTGACTGAACAGAATCAGCAGTCAAGCAATTAAACGACTTACTGCATAAGGCAAATCTGTTGCACAAGATCTCTCTGTAAAGTGTTGAAGAGCAAAGGTGTCAGTTTGAGAACTAAGGTGTGCCTGATCCAAGCTGTGATATTTTCAATAACCTCATATGCATATGTGAAAGTTGAACAGAGACTAAGGAAGACCTTTGAAGAATTGATAAATCTGAGTTATGATGTTGGAGGAGAATATTAAAATTACCATGGGCTACCAAAAGAATAAATCAATCTGTAATGAAAGAAATATAGCCAGAATGCTCCCTGGAAGCCAGGATGGCCAGACTTCATCTCTTATACTTTGGACACACTGTCAGGAGGGGGCAGATCCTGGAAAAAGAAACCGTGTTCAGTAAAATAGTGAGCTGGAGAAAAAGAAGACAACCCCAATGAAATGGACTGGCACAATGGCAGCAACAATTGGCTCAAATGTAGCATAGCAACAACTGTGAGGTTGGCCCAGGATTGGGCAGTGTTTCGTTCTGTTGTGCATAGGGTCACTATGAGTTGGTACCAACTAGATGGAACCTAACATCTCCACTTGATTTTTCTTCTTTTCTTCTGTTTCTCATCTCCACTCTCTTCTTTTTCCATTTTTCTTTAATAGTCTCTAGTATGTTTCCTTTCACCATCTTCCCTGTTTTCCTGTCCATCTTTTCTCTTTTTAGTTATTACATTATTTTTCCTTGTTGCTACCCAATTTTCTTTTCTCTTCTTTATTATATTGTTTTCACTGTTCTTTCTTCTGTTCTATTTTCCCATGTGTGCTTTCTCCTTTTGCCCTACCCAATGAGAGACAGAAACCATGCCCATTAAGCCACAACAGTTCTCTCTGCAGGTTCACCTACTGGACAAAAGTCAACACTAGCTCCTATACCACCTGATTGAAGACTTCAGCAACACCAGCCAAACTCACCCTAAACTGAGCTGCACAAATGGTGAACAGAAAACAGTCCACATATATCCATTCTCTAATTACATCTACCATGACACAGTATATGAGAGCTTAAGAACACATCAACAAATAACTATCGATTAAATACAAATAAAACGACACCACAATATCTCAAAGACAACAGATAATTTTAGCTCAAATGAAGAAACAGAGAGTGGTTCACACATATGACCAAGATTCTGAGCCAGAAAATGTTTCTGAGGTAGACAGATTTAGTTCTGAGGAATAAAAACTAAATGAGGAAAGAATTCAAATGATATTTTTTGTTGTTGTTAGGTGCCATCAAGTCGATACTGACTCATAGCGACCTTATACACAGCAGAACGAAACACTGCCCGATCCTGGGATAACCTCACTATAGTTGCCACGCTTGAGTCCATCAATGCTGCAACTTGGCCAATCCATCTTGCTGAGGGGCTTCCTCTTTTTTCTCTGACCCTCCACCTTACCAAACACGATATCCTTCTCCAGCGACTGCTCCCTCCTGATAACATGTCTGAAATATGAGAGATGAACTTTGGCCATATTGGCCTCCAAGGAGCACTCTGGCTGTACTTCATCCAAATCGGATCTATTGGTTCTTTTAGCAGCCCATGGCACTTTCAATATTCTCCTCCAACACCGTAACACAAAAGCATCAATTCTTCTCTGGTCTTCCTTATTCACTGTCCAGCTTTCACATGCATATAAGGTTACTGAAAATACCATGACTTGGGTAAGGCGCACCTTAGTTCTCAAGCTGACATCTTTGCTCTTTAACACTTTAAAAAAGTCCTGAACAGCACATTTGCGTAATGCAATACGTCGCCTGATTTCTTAACTGCTGCTTCTGTGATTATTGATAGTTGATCCAAGAAGAATGAAGTCCTTGACAACCTTAATCTTTTCGCCATTGATAAGAATGTTGTTTATTGGGCCAGGGGTGACGATTTTTGTTTTCTTGACGTTGAGATGTAATCCATACCGAAGGCTGTGCTCTTTGTTCTTCATCAGTAAATGTTTTAAGTCCTCTTCACTTTCAGCAAGCAACGCTGTATCATCTGCATATTACAAGTTGTTAATGAGTCTTCCTCCAATCCTGATGCCACGTTTTTCTTCATAGAACCCAGCTTCTTGGATGGTTTGCTCAGCACACAGGTTGAATAAGTTCGGTAAAAGAATACAACCTTGTCACACACCTTTCTTAATTTTAAAACATTCAAGTGTTCCCATGTTCTGTTTGAGCAACTGCTTCTTGGTCCACATACAGATTCCTCAATTAAATGTTCCAGAATACTCATACTTCACAATGTTATCCACAGCTTG